TTTAATTTTATTCCTTTCTTTTCTCTCTTTTTTTCTTTTTCCTTTTCCCTTCTTTTTTATTATTCCCCTTCCTCTTTATCTTTTCCGTTTCACTGCTCATAGATGTCCTATCAGTAACAAACGTTGATATTTTAAGTTCATATCTAAAGACTTACAGACGCAAAACGATCACTGACTACAAAAATGTTAATTCTATTCTTTGAATGATACGGACTCCTGGATTCAGGTATTTAATTAATTTTAATTATAACATGTTAGTTTTTTAGTTATATATTAAATTTTAGTCATTTTTTAAATTTGAATCTAACTTCTACAATGTTACAAATTGCGGATTTTAACAATGACATTATTCGCCTTTGTCTCCGATTCAAATCTGGGAGGACCATTATACTCGTACGTTCAGTCTACCTCACGATGCGTTTTGAAAATTTGCGCCTGAATATTATGCTTTAGATGGTATTTAACAAATTTTAACATTGTATTTATATATTTTTACCGTTTTAATTTACTTGTATTAATTTTAACATTGAGAATGACCTAATATAGGTCAAAACGTTTGTTTTGTTTTAATCACTTGATGTAATTGTATTGGAGCATTAAATACCTAGCTCAGGCTCGTAGCTCTTATTTAATTTATTGATTTGTTACTTTGTTGAGCCATTTTAACTCATTATTTTATTTATAACTAATTTTTAATTGTTAAATAGTTTTTCCATTAAATTGAGTAATACCGTTGGATTTGTGAGAAAATTTTAGTAACCCCAAAAAGTGGGGTTTTCAAAACATTTCTATTTTTATCCTCAGGAAAGATGTACAATTTAAGATGTCAAATCCAAATTCGTATCGTTGTTCCATTAGTCGGTGCTCGAAAAAAGTATATATCTGTAATACATCTGTTCAATGGATGTTGACAAAAAGATAGAATACATGTAGTTAAAATATATTCTTTACCTTACATATAGTTATATAGTTTAAAATATATTTTTATTATATTTGGAGCCCAATTTTTATACCCAATTATTATACAGGATGTCCCATTTTATATTTGACAGTCAAATATTTGGAAATCGCCAGGTTTGAGAGAAAAATGTCAGACAAAAGTTGTAAGGTTTCGAGGGGAACATAAGATAATAACATTGGTTTGACCCTGAGTGGCGTCGTCAAGATTAGGACAAGGTCACTTTGAATTTTTTAACGGAACCTATTTTTCATTGCATATTCTTATAACTTATTTCGAGAGCTTTCCAAAATACATAGATAAAACGTATTTTGGTTAAGTATATCTTGAGTTATGAAGCTTGAAACTTACAGTACCGTCGACATTAGCATTATCGGAGATGTCCGAACAGGTGGCTGAAACCTTTTGAATGTTGTTCAGGATCATGATCTTGACAACATGTGTTAAGGTCACGATCATTGGAGATTATTTCTCTTATTTTCATTTTTGAAAATCATTTTTATGTTTTGAAAATAAGAGAAACAATCTGCAATGATCATGGCCTTGACACATGTTGTCAAGATCATGATCAGTGCTGATGACGGTACTGTAACTTTCAAGCTTCATAACTCAAGATTTACTTAACCAAAATACATTTTATATATATGTTTTATATATATGGAAAGCTCTCGAAATAAGCTACAAGAATATGCAATGAAAAATAGGGGGTTCCATTTAAAAAATTCAAAGTTACCTTGTCCTGACCTTGACGACGCCACTCAGGGTCAAACCAATGTTATCATCTTATGTCCTCCTCCAAGTCCCTTTTGTCTGAAACATTTGTCTCTCAAACCCCGCGATTTCCAAATATTTGACTGTCAAATATAAAATGGGACACCCTATATATAGTATATTAATTTACTTATTATTTGTGCTGCCTGAAATATACGCTACACATTTCAGAATCATTTTTATTTGATAGCGTTTTTATCTTATAATCAACGGGCAAGAATAAATATTAGTTGTATCAGGCGTAATTATGTAGTATACAGGGTGTCTCCGTATAAGTGGCTACCCCTTTTTATCTCGTAAACTAATAGAGATAGATTTAATAAATATAATATCAAATTAAACGGCTCTGACTAAACTTTATTGTAATCAGAGTGATCACTTAGAAATATTATCTATGTTAGAGAGCGAAAAGACATGATTAATTTTTGCACGGTAAGATGACAATTTTAGTATGATAAAAGTTGTAGCATTCTTTTTAACGAATACAACGATGTATAAGATAACAAAATTATTTTACGAATTATAAGTTATTTTGGTTTAAAATTTTGTGTGCAGCTACTACCTTTTCAATTTCGGCCTTGCGCTGTGGCCAACTTCTGATTTTTGTGTTGACAATTGACGTGTAATGTTTTTATCTGATCATAATACTCTCGTTAGTGTGAGAGTCGGAAGGCCACATCGCAGGGCCGAAATTGAAAAGGTAGTAGCTGCTCACAAAATTTTAAACCAAAATAACTCTTATAATTTGTAAAATTATTTTGTTATATCATACATCGTTGTATTTGTTAAAAGAAACGCTACAACTTTTATCATATTAAAATTGTCACGTTACCGTGCAAAAATTAATCATGGTTTTCTGCTCTCTAACATAGATAATATTTCTAAGTGATCACTGTGCTTACAATAAAGTTTAGTCAGAACCGTTTAATTTGACATTATAATATATTTATTAGGTTTATCTCTATTAATTTACAAGATAAAAAGGAGTGGCTACTTATACGGGGACACTCTGTATAACTTTTATATTCAAAATTATTTTTTATTTTTTTAACGCCCTGACAACGGCGCAGGCTCGTATTGGCAATTGTTTTGTGAATTTTTTTTTATATTCCTTATATAAAAGAATATGAAGGTTATAGCTTTTAGTAATTTTTAGATATGTGGAATAGCATCTGGAATAAGTTTTTTGTTACTCGTTTGAATAAGGAAAACAGCAAAAAGAGTCGATATAATACAAATACAAATACACACACACACACACACGCACGCACGCACGCACACACACACACACACACACACACACACACACACGCGCGCGCGCGCGCGCGCGCTCAATTATATACTATAGTATATATATCGTATATACTATATACATATAGTATAACTAAAATGTATCTATAGATTCGAAATAGAATATTATATATAGTCATCAAAAATATATCGATAATTTCTAAAAGTTCAAGATAGAGCAACTTTGTCAAAAATTATCGTAACCAGATTTTTAAAAAAGCATTTTACAGCTTGAAATCTCCATTTTTCAAGTTGATACTTTACAAAACGATTAACTGACTTTCTTCGGAGTCGCATTGATACAAATGGTTGATACAAAAAGATTTCAAACTGTAAAATGCTTTTTTAAAAATCTCGTTACGATAATTTTTGACAAAGTTGCTCTATCTTGAATTTTTAGAAATTATCGATATATTAACACATTGTCCGGACAAAATTAGTTTGGTGACTGTATATACGAGTATATTTCACAGTACACTGTAAGATATATGTAACATTCTAATTCTATAGATATATTTATTATATGTACATACATACATATAATATAGATAATTTATTATATGTACACATATATATATATATATATATATATATATATATATAAACATATTCTGAATATAGTTGCACTTTAAGGATGTTTAAGTCTTTCAACATATATAAGAACAATCTGTAAAATTTTTGTTAAATTCTCATTATTTTAAAAATTCTATAAGTATAGAATATAAAAATTTTATACCTATAGAATTTTTAAAATAATGAGAATTTAACAAAAATTTTACAGATTGTTCTTATATATGTTGAAAGA